AAAATAGTTCCTTTTATGCTGATTTTTTTCTATCATTAGGTCGACCCAATGAATATCTTCGGGTCTAATGCCAAATCAACTATTATGGTAGACAAGGACAATCTCACCGTTTGTCAACCAGGTTTTGACGTCAGAATAGCTTAAACAAGTGACAGTGACAGGATAAATCTCACTGTCTGAGTAACATAGAAACATTATAAGACGCATTAGCTAATCAACCTGATAATCTTCTCTGAGGCTTAAAGTATTACTGACTTTGTGAAAACCAGAGCTACATTCTTTATAATACTAATAGAGTTATTTAAGCAATTTACATTGTTGTATTCCTCTGATTACACAGATCGACCCAGTTTCTTTGTGCTGATAATAGCTCCAAAATAAATTATTTTTTCCCTAGAGAACACTACCTCTATGTATTAACATGTGTAGACTTCTTGCATGTTTTTTAAAGCATTGATCACCATTATGAATCAATGAGGAACAATGGAACTCAGGTCCTTTATGATCCAACTCAAGCCTTAATTGTTGTATTTTTTAGCCCATTGTTGCTTAGAGGAAAGTAACAATCTACAGCTGTGTGATAAAATGAAATGTTTGTAATCATTGAATAGTAAAATGGAAACAAATTCACCGCATTCCCACGATATCCACTTGTGTCCGTAGTAAATCACGTGAGGAAAGATATCCTGGACATTCAGGGACATTATAAACACTAATGCTAAAACTACTCGTCAAGACAAACATAGTGTATATCAAGTAAAACTGAGGTTCCCCTCAATGTTACCATATCAGAATAATCATAGCAGGGAGGAAGTTTGAGGTTCATTGTAAATATTAATTCTAAAACTACTCGTGAAAATATATTTTCTCATTCGCAAACTTCTAAAAGGTGACCACCCCCATAATGATTTGGTTATACTAGTAATAATGCAAATATTTTTATTTCTGTTCCACAAATTTAACAATAGTTACGAAGTTCAAGGAGCTCATAATGTTGGTTTAACACTAATGCATGTAGTTAAACTAAAATACGCGTGGACAACTGATACTAGTAAAATTATTTTTATGTTATTTAGACACATTGTTAAGTTAAAAATGACTTGGTTGTTTGGTTAAAACCTTTAAATATGAACCAGCTACATAGATGAGTTTTGGTAAACTAGCGCTAACGCGAGAGCTTTATCCTTCATACTCTAGTAACAACGAATTTTGTTTATTATCATATGGTGATGTAGTAATATATTTTATACCGTGAATCTAAGGGCGTAAAAAACTATGAAAAATTTATTTCTTCTAGTGTGTAAACGGGGTAAGAAAACATAGAAGTTAATAGTAATACCAAAAATATTCGGAGACTCGTTCAACATGTTGCATGGCTTACTTAGCATGATCTATAAAGAAACTCAGTGAATATAAATATATAAACACGGTACGTGGAAGAAATAGCAGTGCCAAAATGTGTGAAAGATGTTAAAATGTGTGAAAGATGTTAAAATGTGTGAAAGATGCCAAAATGTGTGAAAGATGTTAAAATGTGTGAAAGATGCCAAAATGCCATGAAATATGTGAACTTGAAAGTGGGTGAAGCTCATAAGTAAAATGATTATGGTCTTTCATTACGCGTGATTAATTATGCCAAAGCAAAATGTTTACTTTAATAAAATACTTTACTGCGTCCATCTTAGCGATATGTGAATTGGACCTATCTAAGAATGTCTATGCAGCATGCTATCCATTAACGTGAGCACTTTGAAAAAGGTTGTGATACATAAATCAAGAACACTCGGAACTTATTTGTTTCGTATAAATCCCACTGTCACAATACAGAATATTGACACTATTCGCGAATTATATGGTTAAATACAGGTCTAGTAATAGATGAATGAACATTCAACCGTGAATGTGTCGTGGAGGATTTTATGTTGTGAATTATATTCTGGGCATTAAGCGTAGCACTAACTGTGAAGAATCTTCATACTTAAATCCTCGTGGGTATCAGTACACATGTACCTTACATGAACACATTCCAGAAACAATGGTAAAAGTATTTTTATCAGCAAATCAATGTGGCATTCCAGAGAATAATGCTTTCTGCCACACACAGTCTAGGCCTTGTTTCAAAGCACACTATCAACGTTCTGCAATAATACATCCAGAGTTTAGATATGAATCCTATATAACATTTTTGAGGCTATCATTTGAAAGATTTGACCACAACCTCTCAAAACATTCAACGCATGGCAAAAGTTTGTGCCTTGGTAACAGTATACCTCCGGAAAAACAGTTTTCAGTCCTAGTAAGTTGTTATATTATATTTGGACAATGGCAAAGACTCCTCATCCCAAACACTATAGTGTAGTTACTTTTGGTAGAGCAATGAATATTCATTGAATTACTGTATTTTAATTGTAAAGTATAATAATAGTAAAGTCTAGGCTTAATTATCGTGCGATATGTGCCTCTTATAAAATTAATTCACACACTGAAAAACTTAGAAAAGGAGGGCAGAAAACATGTTCAACAAACCTTCCCCGTTGATTAATTACAAAACATTGGTACAGAAAATATTCTTGATAAACATTATAACCCATTACATAAGCAATGGTAGTACTTTTCTAGTCCATGGTCTGTAGAAATACGTAAGCAAAAGACTGCTGTTTTAAACTATATACAAGGTGCAAAAAATCCATTAGACTAAAGTACACAACAACTGAACTTTGAAGTCGACCGGCAAAGAGCTCAAACTAAAGAAAATACTACCGACCTTCAGACATTTATTTATATATATACTGTAAAACAACCCTAACGACTCTAATTAAAATCTTCAGAATTAAGGTAGCGTATCTTAGCAGTTCCAGGAAATGACACAATTCTACTTACTCAAGTATGATTCAGTTTGAGAACTGTTTGACTGGAAAGTAAAATATTCCGCCTTTAATCTCGTGAAGGTTCTTTTTTTTTTTTAGCTTGATTTCAACTGTAGACCACGTAAGCTTAGCTATACCTACTCATCCCCGATATTTAGCAGTAATCGTAAGACATACCAAAAAGATGTTTCTCTTATAACCGAATTCTTCCTAATCCTCTCTTGCTGTTCTTTTGCTGTTGTTGTTTCTCTTACTTCGAATCATCCTTCAAGCCGTTTTTTTTCTCAAGAAATAGAAATAGAACCATATCTTAGTGGTTTCATTTTTAGTTCGTACAACACAGTTACTGTTACATGGTGTAAAGCCACAAATAAAAATATAATTGTTTTAATTTTGTGCATTTAAATATCTGTAACTAAGCGTAGTTTTTTGTTCAGTTCTATTAAAACACTTCATAAGATTACATACAAAGTTTTTATCTTACATTAATTACTACTAAGGATACATATTTATTTTAAAATGTTAATCCAACTATTTTCAAGGTTTTACTCTTACAATGATGAGAGTGATCAAGTGATCCATTGTTCTTGCACCATAATTAGAGAACCTGGTAGCACGAGCGCTATGGAAAGATAAAACTTTCATTTCCTTCTATAGACAAAAAATGACTTATTTTGTACTGTATTATTTATAACCCTCCACGACATACGCTTATTCTGTGATTTCTACGGTACCTTCAGCGGATTTTCTTGTGTATGTACTCTTTCTAAGCAAGCGATAATATTCACTTTGGAGTAGTTTCTGTAACACTGTTACTGGTGTAGTGTTACTAACACTTAGGTTTTGTTGATTTCTATGGAGTGCACAAAATAGTTTATATGTAATCTCTGTAGCATATTAAGACAATTAGTTGAGTTGTACCTTTATTATACACCAGGAAAATCGTTTGGTTGTGTTATTTACAGCGCACTCATACATTTAGTTGAGCTATACTTCTACTACACACCAAGAAAATTGTTTGGGCTGTGTTATTTACAGCGCACTAAGACAATTAGTTGAGTTGTACTTTTATTACACACCAAGAAAATCGTTTGGGTTGTGTTACTTACAGTTTGTTAAGACAATTCCTTCTGTTGTAATATTTGTACACGTGAAATCTTTCATCTGTATTTTACTTGACTAAACGAAAATTATTTATTGTATTTTAATTTACATAACGTCCCAACGACTCGTATTGTGTATTCTATATAACACATTAACGAATTGTATTGTGTGTTCTATATAACACCCCAACGAATCGTGTATATTCGTTATAAATATCCAGAGCACCAGGTATTGTTTTCAGTTGAGATTTTTATGAAAGAACTAATTGTCAATTACGTTTAGTGTACTGTTTATTTAAGAACGAGTATTAAAAACTTAAAATACACAAAGTCCTAATTCAGAAAGCCATTGGTGTTGCAAGAAATGAATGGATCTTCACTGATGTTAATTTCTTTCACGCTTCGATTTTTTTCAGTATTCTGTTCTCTTACATATTCGACAATCAGTAGTTATTTAAAGAAAGTTTATGAACACAATAAGATTTAAAATGACTGACGAGTGGATTACGAATGTACTTTAAAATTTTTTTTTCAATGTTAAACATTTAGCTTGCGTTAATAACTCATAGTTTTCGTAGTCAACTTTCAGCAAACTTATAATAACAGTTTAAAAATTCTGTTATTAAACAGACTCAGATATAGAACAAGTCCAGAAGCCAGGCCGCAGAATATGCACTTAATTTCTATGATATTTCTCTGTGTTTTTAAGGAGAGTATATGATGCAACTTGTGGATGTTAAAAACTACATTAATTCTTACACCTTAAAAGTAAATGTTACAGCTAGTAGCCGATCGATGGTTTCTTATACAGGTGATGACAAGGAACCTTCGCTCTGATCAATGAAACGCGTTCCTGTGGACCTGCTCTTTCTACTACAAAAAGAACACGCGCATGCGCATCTCATCAAAATCAACTGGTGATTGAAATGTTTGCAACACGTAGAAAGTTCCTGTATTACACAACCGTGGCGCTTAAGTAGCCAAGACCTGTCGCTCCTAACGTATGCGACGACATAGCTGATGTTCAAGCAGGTAACGTTTAACATTCCAGGTGCGTGATTCGCTTCCAACACACAGAGATGTAGGGTTTGCAGGAAAGTTCTCTCTTGAGGAACAGGTAACTTTTTTTTTCTAATATTATTTTCTACGATGAGCTGATGTTACTACATAATGCAATTAAACGTTATTTCACAAATGTAACAACTAAGAAGATACGTTCTACACTGTTTTACAAGAAATGAATATAACTGACCACGTAGAGTAAAATAGTATATATTGGAATTAGATATCCTTTATTTTTAATTATAAGTGATAATAGGTTTTTAAACTTCTAAAAATATATAAAACCAATTAATTAAATATTTGCCTTGTTATAGGAGACATTAGAATAAGTTCTCGTATTATGGTCTATTACACTTTAGTCTTCAGATAAGACAAATTATTCCCCACAACCTACAAGAAAACACACTAACGATATCATTATTACTGATATTAGAGATATCATTTCCAACAAGTGTAGCCCAACAATTGAAGTGGGGTGTAAAATTGTGAAACATGACAAGTTGATTTGAAGTTGTGGATGATTACAACTATGTTTTAGAGTTGTCTACGTTTTAAAAAGCAACGCTAGAATCCGGATTCCGATACCCGTGCTGGGCAGAGCACAGATAGCCCATTGTGTAGCTTTGTGCTTAACTTCAAACAAACAAACAATAAAAAGGCTTAATATTTGTTAGTATTAAACATTAGTTTGTGTTTTCTTATGAAGCTTGAGCTTGCAGGAGTATCGTTAGCTCTGAGAGCGCCCCCCAGTAGCACAGTGGTATGTCTGCGGACTTACAACGCTAGAATCCGGGTTTCGATACCCGTGGTGGGCAGAGCACAGATAGCCCATTGTGTAGCTTTGTGCTTAACTTCAACTTGTGCTTAACAAGCTCTGAGAGCAATTTAATTTCGATAGTCACAGGTGTTATTTTTATCAGCAAAACTATGTTGGGCTAACTATTTCAGCTAGCTTTCATCTAGATTATTTTACTTTTATTATGAGTCATAGATGACAGCGTTGATATTTGATGGTGAGTTAGGTTAAAAATAGAAAAGTGAACCGGATAAACACAAGTTCTAGTATTTTTAAATAGATTATAATGATTAATTATTTGTTTTATAATGGGAAAATGCGTGTTACCAAGAGACTATGTGCCCTCCTACTTATATACTAACTGTTACATCATGTGGTATCCATAATCAGATAAAGTTGGATTAAAATGATGTCGTCAACAACAACAAAAAAATAGTATTCTTTAATTAATCTAATCTTAGAAGATGGTGTATTTGGTATTATTATCATTAGGTTTATTTGAAATAGGTTCCGAAAATAATTCATGAAAGAACCATTTGTTTGCTTTTAATTAATAGATAAATTGTTAATTAATGTTCTCTTCATATATTCCTTGAGGTCACTTTTATCAATATAAGTAGTGTTAGATTGAGGTTTACCTGTTTAGCCGAGAATCTAGAGACTCGTTGTCTTCTAACTTTACCTTTACTGTAAAAATAATGTATTTAACAGTTGGAAATGTTAAACTATAACTACAAAATAATAGTTTGTAACAAACAAGGAGTGACCTTGGTATTCTTAGTGAACTGTAAAGTAAAATGATGGTTACTTTTGTAATATTTTAGAGTGATTTCTCCTGAGGAAATACTTTTTTTTCTAACAGTGATTTAGTTACTTTTTGGAGATTAAGATGTGTTTATTTGCTAAAACACTAATGACTGATAGATTAATGCACTCTTTTTTTATGAAGTGATATCAGTCCTCAGGCTGTCCACCTTTTTATGAAGTGATATCAGTCCTCAGGCTGTCCACCTTTTTATGAAGTGATATCAGTCCTTAGGTTGTCCACTTTTTTTTATCGACTGATAGATCTATGCGGTTTTTGAACTTTTATTTTACGTAGGTTTTGTAGTGTTATAGAAGAATCATTAATTGATAGATCTATATATTCTTCAATGATTAACTATAAGTAGTAATATCACTCCTCGGGTTATGTCCTGTTTTAATGCGTATTTTTAAATACTCTGATTGTTCATTTTGTATTCTAGCCATTTTTGTTCTCTTAAACGAAGTATGTATTCGTTTTTTTTAGATTGTGTTGTATTATTTTGCGTATTTTTATATATAAGAACAATCTGATCCTTTCAACTGCACAAGTTAATTAATACAGCGTAATACAACTTTAATTAGTTTTTTAATTATTATTTGTTATGAGATCCTGCTATTATTGTATAGATTTTACGTTTCGGTACAACATTTATAACGTAACGGTCTTGCGACTCAAACATATCCATCCGTTCTCAGACGGATTTGTACTATGCATTCGTTCCAAAATAGAATTTCACATGGGTGTCTTTTGTTTCTCGTGTAATTAATTTCCGCGTAAACAAAACGTAGCTGTAACTTAAAATTTTATTAAAGTATTGATTTCAGAAGAGAAATTCATGGGAACACCTACTGGAAACTGTTGTCTCGTGGGTTATAAAAGATAATTTGAAAACATAAAAAAGTAACAGTACAAACTTACGTTTTAAACAGGATTCGGTACTGCAGCTTCGTCCTACATTAAAACATAAAACTCATATAGCAATGATAAGCTAGACTATAAATTACAGTATTAAAATAACATTATTTTACAATAACTTACATGAAGTATAAATAGTGTTGGTCATTTTACAGTGTTAAAATAACATTATTTTACAATAACCCATAGAAAGTGTAAATAGTGCTGATCACTTTACAATGTTAAAATAGTATTATTTCACAATAACTTACATAAAGTATAAATAGTCCTGGTCATTTTACAGTGTTAAAATAACATTATTTTACAATAACCCGTAGAAAGTGTAAATAGTGCTGATCACTTTACAATGTTAAAATAGTATTATTTCACAATAACTTACATAAAGTATAAATAGTCCTGGTCATTTTACAGTGTTAAAATAACATTATTTTACAATAACCCGTAGAAAGTGTAAATAGTGCTGATCACTTTACAATGTTAAAATAGTATTAT